CCATTTGAAAAAACAAAGCAGGATAAAAAAAATGGAACTGCAACTTTATTTATTCTTTGAAAATGTATTTCTGTTTTGTTTAGGTTATTCCTAAGGACACTTCTAAAGTTGCTCCAGAAGATGGTGTTTATATTCATGGATTGTTTTTAGATGGAGCCCGCTGGGACAGAAAGAAGTTAGTAATTCAGTAAATGTGCAGTTAATTGGCATGTGTTAAAGTGCTTTCCCATGTCCTTCATGCATGCTAATATTTAATTTCTTTTAATATCTTGACATATTTTTAATATTGAAATAATATTTTAAGACTACAGTACTTTCCTCTATCAAATTAGATTGAAAAACAATATGAATGTATTTGTTCTAGCCATCGAAACACTTTTTATAAATATAGTCATGTATTATTTGCTATATTGATTTGAAGACAAACTTCTGCTTGAAATATTTGAAAACATTCTCAACAACAGTAGTATTCCTACAGCATGTTACAATATCAAATCATGATTTTAAGTTATTTTTAAAATGGCAGAGGGTGTCCTTTTTCAGCCTGAGCACCAGATGGCAGAACTGTCCTATCCTCTATGGGCCACTTTTCAGTGGTGGGTGGGGCCACTCACTTGTCTGTTGAGTGATGTCAATATTATGATTTTTTTATTATTAGATTTATATCCCATCATTCCTCCAATGAGCTTAAGGCAGCATACATATTCCCCTCTTTCCCTGTGAAGTAGGCTAGGCTGAGAGACAATGACTGGCCCAAGGTTACCCAGTATGGATCATTGGTACATAGGGATATGAACCCTGGTGTCCCAGGTTGTAATCCAGCATTTTAACTGCTACACAAGGGCTTGCTGTCGGTGATGATCAGCTCATTGGCAATGACAGCAAGCTCTCCTTTGTCCATCTGCAGATGCAGCCAAGCATCTAGCAAAACTGTCTCCAGAAGAAAAATGTCTTTTTGTAGGTTAGGGCCAGCCCAAGACATTTTGACAGCTGAAGTAAACCACAAAATGGCACCACCACCCTTCCACTGGCCAAGAAGGGATGAGTGAAGATCTCAATCAGGAACAAGGAGGGGAGTAAAAATCTACATTGGGATCTGCTGCCCCTATGGATCCTGCCACCTGAGGCAGTTGCTTTACCTTCCCTCATGGGTGGGCTGGTCCTGTTGCAGATGCAGTTTGAATTAAAATCATGCCCTCAAATTGACAACTTCAAAGGGGCTCAGTTATGATGCCTTCAAAGGGGCCATATGAAATCCTATATGGGACTAGAGAATATGGTTACAGGAAATGTTCTCACAGGCCTTGCTGGGCCTTTAGTAGGTTTGCGGTCCAGAGGTTCTGCTACTACTTTAAAGTCTCGCTTTATGAAGACATTAATCTGAATTTCCATCTAACACTACTTGGAGCTTCACCAACTGGAACCTTTTTTCTAACAACTAGAATGGAAGAAACACAATTAATTGAATTTAGAAGCTGCATTAACTCATTAGAGCACCCAGAAAACTATTTTGGAGCAATTGTTTTTGGAAGTTCAGGTTTCTGACATCTTTTAACTTCCATCTTCCTTTCTTCACAACACTTTTTCTACCCTCTTATTTCTATTACACTTTCTTTTTCAGAGCTTCCTTAATATCTATGCCAGTATTATGTGTGTTGTGTACAATTGTTTCTCACTGTTCATTTTTTTTCTTTCATCAGGGGACTTCTAGCTGAACAATATCCTAAAATACTCTTTGATGCAATGCCAATTATATGGATAAAGCCAAGTAAGTAAACTGGATATTTGGCAAATAATTAACTGGAAATGTCCCATCCTTCTGTATAGTAGATCACTTTGATCTTCAGTGACCTCTTAGATTGCTTTGTTTGCACTTTCTGACTATATATATATATATATATATATATTCTGTTTTCCTAAATATCTGGGAAATCTTCTTTGGAGAAGAGATTTACTCTTTTCCTTCCTGTGTATTCTTTTGCTGACTTAATTTAAAATGCATGTTTTAAATCTGAATCCTGGACATAGTTTGGAAACTGCAACATAAATATTTTTCTTTTGCTAGTGACTGGTTAACAAAAAAGAATAGCATTTTGTTTCATGTTCATCCATGTAGTGTCCTATTTGTCAGGATAACATAAGCATGACAAATGAATTATAATTATTATTTAACCTGTTTGTGCATTACTCCTGAAATAGAAGCAATATATATATATTAGTTATCAAAGGGCCATTATTTCAGGGCTAAATGTGTAAAGAGTCTGGTTGGATTGCATGTGGGTGAACTTAATGGTGAACTTAGACTTAATGGGTAAACAGAATTGTAATTGGGTCTGTGGCTCCCAAGTCAAATCTATGGGCTCACTTTCAGACTGTCCTTAAATAGATAGTATGTGATTATTATCCAGCATTGCATTCTTTTACTTCAGCATCTCTGTTAAACTTCAATACCTTTTGACAATTCAGAAGTTAATAGTATTTGGAAATCAATGTATTGCTGCATATACATTAAGGTCAGTTACTCAGCTCCTTACACGTGTAGGAGCTTGGATGTACATGAAGACTTCATTCAGTATCAGAGCTGAAAAGCCAAGCAGCAATGCCATCTGTAGTACCTGTTGCAGGACTACATGACACCTGCCTTCCCCACTCGGGTGCCTTCCAGATGTTCTGGGTGGAGGGCTGATTTTTGAATGCTCTCTGATGTTAAGCTCAAGCAGACTCTGAGTGCTGTTGGATCCAGTCCTTACTTTGGCTGTGCTGGTGTCATGCAGAGTTCCTGTCACTGGTTTAAGGTGGTGCCCAGTTCCTGGATGATGGTTAAATTTAATTTCCTAGATATGTTTAGGTCTCATTTTATTTTATTCTCTAATTCCTGCCAAACCACATCAACAGCTTACAGAGCTGAAAGCATGGGTATATTTTTGAATAAACAAATAGATGTAAAAGAAAAACAAGCAAACCAAACTCCCTGAACTAACTTGTCAAGGAGAAGTCTAAGCTAGAATCTCCTCCCTGACTTGCAGATCTGGTAGGCGTAGGATTTTTAAATATACCCTTGGGGCAGCCCTTATGACTTTGATAGCCCCGCCTGCAGCCTGAATTCATACAATCCAGCAACAGATGCATCATGTTGGGTGGCTGTTCTTTTTTGCCTCTTGATGAAACTGATTCTGCTGTGTTACAGGGTAGCCTACAAATTGTTGCTTACATAAAGTTGAACAGTAATTTTTTCCTAGGCTCTACTGAATAAAAAAACATATTTATTTAGCACTGACATTATTTATGCAATACAGTTTTCTCAATATTTTTTAACAGAGCATAATAAAAATTGTTTTTTTCTCCTTACAGCAAAAAAAACAGCCATAAAAAAATCAAATGCTTACATGTGTCCACTCTACAAGACAAGTGAGCGTAAAGGAACCCTTTCGACCACTGGGCATTCTACTAACTTTGTCATTGCATTAATGCTATTAACTGATCAACCAGTCCAGCACTGGATTAAGCGAGGGGTTGCTCTGCTTTGCCAGCTGGATGACTAATGTTGAAAAACTCAGAATCAAAGCGTGACAAGACGGGGGATTTCTTCCCCTAAGTGAAGAACTTTGTTACTGATGTAGTTTGATCATTTGAACTTCTAAATTGATTGCAGTATTTTGCAATTAAAAATTAAACGTGATTGTTATTCCTTTATAAAGTTACCAATGTATTCTCCTGTTCTTTTGTAACAATATTGTCAGTTGCTAGGATGAAATAATGGCTTACTTAATGTATCAACAAGGCATTTTGAGGCTGTTGAAGGATCACTTTCCTGTTGCTTACAGATGTTGGTTTTCCCCTTTCATCTCTTAATGTCCATTCAACTTGCCCAGAGCAGTAGTGTGGATTCAGAAGAAGTGGTGCAAGGCATCACATGAAAAGCAGAAAAAACAGGTGCACAGGGTGCTATTCAGAATAATAGCACTAGCAATTGCCTAGCATCCTGGAAGAAGAGAGTCTATATAAGCAGTGCCAGTTACCCACTAGTGAGCACCTTCTGTGGTGCAGCATCTGCTGCCAGCAGCCAGTCACTCAAAGCTCAAGGAGAAACTGTGGGGAGAGTCTCTTTCCCACCCAGATGGTGGAGAAAGAATGGTAAACTAAAATGTTGCAATGTGACATTGTACTGGCCAGGATTAGTTATGCCTACTCTGGCACAGCGAACGCAAAGATATGTAAATAAATTAGAACCTGTTGGAAATTTGTCCTAAGCATTTGTCTAACTAAAGTTAAGCACATTTACGCACTATTGATTTCAATGGTAATTGAGAACCCGTTGGTTTATCTTGCAATAAAATCAATGGGACTTTAAAAATCCTCAAATTTGGGTGCATCATGTCCCCAGGTTTATGAAAAGTGTAGATAATGATATGTTGTCTGATATTTATCAGTTTTTAATGTATTGTGTTTTTGAAGCTGTTTTAATTACATTCCCATGCATTTAAGATATTTCTGAGTGGGTACTATTGAGAAATGTATTTCCTTTAGCAATTCTTGAATTGTGATGAAAAATGTCTGGCCTTCTGATCTTTTTTTCACATGTCAGGTTCATGTCTCTGAATTCTGCTAACCTTCGTGTAATCCTCATGGGGAAACTTGTGGGCATGCATAACAGAGTGTCTTATGGTCAGGTATTTATAGTAAGTTATTAATGGATATGGGCTATGCAAGAAGCAAAGGATCATTTTTCAATACATAAAACGTCACACTTCGTTTTAACATTTGCTTAGAGTGTGAAGTCTTCACTGTTTCAAATGTGGAAGAAAGGTGAGGAGGATTTGTGCTTTTTCTTAAATCTTTTTAATGAAATTCTAAAAGCAACAATAAAAACTTTAAAGAGTATATATGTACTTCTGGCATTTTTAAAATCCTATTGCAACTGTAGTACCAAAAACCTCTACTTACCTGCATGCTTTGCTTTAAGCCAAAATTATTGATGGTAAAATGTTTGGTAGCTTAGTAGATAAATATTTTCTGTTTCAAACTGCCTCTAGCCACCTGCTTAGTTTCAAAATGTTTGTAATACTTTTTCAAATATCTATTTGGTATCCATGAATAGTAGAAACCAGAACCATCTTACCATAGGGAGTGTTGCCTGAACAGTAATAGAGAATAACATTTCACCATATTTGCAATATGCATGGCAGATATTAGTGCTTTCATAAAGTAACCAGATCTGTATAACAGATGTAAATACTTCTCTGTCAATAAGGAAAATCTCTGAAGCTATATGTTGTTATACTTTATTTATGAAGTTAAATTCTGAGCAGTTTTACTCTGGAATTTTTTTTGGGGGGGGGTTGTTGTTAATAGGTGCAATCCACTTTGTGTCCTACATGCCTTCCAGAGTACTTGAAGAAATTGCAAAGATGTCCCCAACATCTAATGTGAGAGAGGAAGAAAAACTTTTCTCTATCCACTTTCTCCATGCTATGCACAATTTTGTAAGCTGCTATCATGTCACCTCTTCTCTAAACTATTAAGTCCCAAATTGTGCAACCTTTCCTCGTAGGGGAGTTGCTCCAGGCTCCTGATCATTTTGATTGCCGTTTTCTGAACATTTTCCAACTCTACAATGACCTTTTTGAGGTGGGGCAAGAACACAACAGCTGTATGTTCCCCAATAGTTAAACAAGTATTGAGCAAAGCAATAGTAAAGGTCAAGAATAGATTTCTAAGCATCGTATCTGATGTGATCCCTTTTTTCCTACCATGGGAAAAATCTGACAGTGGGCAGGAAATCAAGTTGTTGCTTTTTTAAAAAAGAGATCAATTGAGACTTTTAAGTTAAGACATCTCTGCTTTTGTTTCAGCTCTATTTGTTTCTAATTCTATATATTTATTTCCACATATATAGCTACTAATGCTTCTGGAAGTGCAGAAGAAATAAAAGAATTAGAAATCGTCTTTGCAGCATAGAACAGCTATTTGATCCTACTTGTTTCCCAAGATATGTGGTTTTAGCATGTACAATACTACAGATATATATGATGATGTTGATGATGACATTCCAACTCAGTATGTCATTCAGCAAAGTTTGCAGGACATTCAGAAGAGTGAGAAAGAGGCTACAGCAAGAAATGACAGGTATGTATGTCCTTCTAGATATTGTTGAAACTTTTGAATGTGCGGCTTCAAAACATAGCACTGGATGCCATCACTGGTGTAGCCAAGGGGAGGCAGGGGGAAGATGCTCCCCCTAAATTCATCACAATCAATACAAATCTGAGGTTTTGCCCCCCTAACAAAAATCTTGACTACACCCTTGCTGGAGGCTATAAACTCTTTCAATAGTGTTGTTATGGTGACATTCAGTGATTTTGCATAATAGTGTTATGTACATGGGTTTTTCTCCATTTTATGTATTTGTTTGAGAGTGAGTGGTTATCATGCTTTATGTTACGGCTAGAGAAGAACATAGTCATTTTAGTAATGATTCAGCCAAAGTGAAGCATTGTACATTCATTAGCCACACTTTTACAGTTCCTTTCCTCATAAGATTCAGAAGTCTTGTTCACCTGTTGCACTGGAAAGAGAGGCAAGCTGTCTCCATACAGCATCGTTATCATCAAAATCAGTTAATTAAGTTTCTCCTGACTTTCCTCTCAAAGTTGCCTAGGGTGGCAAACAACAAGGTAGTAAAACAAAACATTTTTTAAAGTATTTAAAACATTTAGAAACAATCACATACAGACCCTCATAGCTTCAGCTGCAAGGTGTCTAAGGCTATGGGATACCACCAGAGAAGGAGGGAGAGAGAGAGAGAGAGAGAGAGAGAGAGAGAGAATTTTAAGGCTGGCAGTCGCATTAATGATGAATCCTATATTCTCCCAAAGTATGTCCACTACTGAATGCTGCTATCAAAGGTACCATTGTGTGTCTTTGAAATGGCAGCCTTTCCCACACTGTTCCGAACCTCCTGTCAGAATTCTGGTGACACAAACAGCAAAGGGCTTTTAAATCCCATTTATTTAAGTGGGAGAATTAAGCCCCCCGGATGATCTATGCTGCTGCAGCTCTTTAAGACAGGGGTCAGCAAACTTTTTCAGCAGGGGTTCAGTCCACTGTCCCTCAGACCTTGTGGGGGGGCCGGACTATATATTTTTTTGGGGGGGGGGAGGAATGATGCAAGAGCACCAAGAGCCCCGGTGGCTGCTTCCCTGTGTCTTGTGAGCGGCAGGGGCTGGCGGCAGCAACGGAGGGACGATGAGCGGCGTGCGAAAGGGCTCTGGAGAGGGGTTGCTTAAAATGGCAGCCGCTCGAGCACTGCTGCTGCTGGCACCAACAAAGCCCAGCCCCCTTCCTCCTCTAGGCAGGGCAGGGAGAAGCCAGGAGGAGGGAGGGAGGAGGTGCCGCCAGCGCTGCCGTGTTAGGGAGAGGGATAGAACGCACGCGCATGCTGGTGATCCACGCAGCGATTTCCAGACCGTCCGCGGACCGGATCCAGAAGGTAGTTGGGCCTGATCCAGCCCAAGGACCTTAGTTTGCCTACCCACAGTGGCGTAGCGTGGGTTGTCAGCACCCGGGACAAGGCAAGTAATTTGCAGTGAGAGAGAGTGAGTGAGCCAGGTAGGGGCAGAGAGCTGCGAGTGTGAGCGAGCGCCCCCCAGATGTTGCGCCCGGTGCGGCTGGCCCCCCCTGCACCCCCCACGCTACGCCACTGCCTACCCATGCTTTAAGATATCTGAATGGGAGACCTACAGAGAACCATGAGTGAAATTAAATGTCACACTATTATGAATGTTCTGTCTGCACAAACATTGCCGCTTGCCAGATTGAACAATCTTCTCTCTTCTCCAGATTGGCAAAGGCTGCTTGAGTCTTAACATGCTTTGGCGGAGTTGCCTGCAGTGTTCAGTAGCTCTTGGAAAACACTGCCCATAGGCCATTGTTGAGCTTTAGGGGATCAAATATTTACACTTTGATTTTTCTTTTAATTTGCAAGCAGATATACTTCTGTGTGGCTAAATAAGTCCCCTAAATGTGCAGATATCATTACTTTATTTTTAGTGCTCTTGTTTTATTTCTAAACTGATAACTGACCATCCAAGCATGGTATTAGGGGGGATGATTCAACAAAAAACACAAGAAGAAACTGAGCCAGATCCAAACGCCTAGAGGGTAAAAAACAAACATATTCAATGTCTATTTGGAGTGATAACAAGTGAGCATTGTCTCTTGTTTCTTTTCATGTTTGGGGGAGAAATATCCTGAAGGAGCAATGCTAGGAGGCTGTGCAACAAGAGGGAGAAATGAATAGTTTTGGCTGATTTTAATTATTATTTTTGCTTGTCTTTCAGCTTTAGTTTTGCTACAAGTACAGATTACAGGAAGATCATCACTGCCATTCGGACAGTTAAGTATCTGATTTGACTTCTTTGGGGAATTAAGTGGGATTCCGACACAAAGAGGAGTACTTGATTTCCTTTATCTTGCACAGACTTTTAAAGAACTGGATTCATTAACTGATAATGAACCATCAAGTGATGCACATGGATGTGTGCAGTGCTTTCCCCCCCAAAAAAAATATGTCTAGGGGTACTCTTATTTTGATTCAAGAAAATCACCATTTTATAGTTCAAATCAGGAAAAATACAGTAAATACAATGAAACTGGCCAACCACCGCACTAGATTCCAACTCCTGCTTCACACATTAAATGCTCGCTTCCGTCTGAGACTCAGGAAACACCGTGACAGGAAATGAGGCTGCCATCGGGAATAGCAACGGAACTGACGATTCACCATGCTATTCAATGGAACTGACGATTCACCGAGCTAGAGAAGAAACTTTTTTTAAAAAAATAGTTTCTTCTCCCGTTAGATTCACAAAATGTACCTCTGCATACCCCCCCAAAAAAGCACTTGATGTGTGAAACTTCCCCCTTCACCATTTTAATTAGAGTTCATTAGGGTTAACAATGCTCATATATATCTTTGGACTTAAAAAGCATGAAGGGTGCATTATTGTGACCTCTTTTACCCTTAACAGGTGAAGAAGAGGCTTTGCTTAAGTTAATGAGATGTGGCTCTGCTTTTCGGGAAGCAGACCAGCAAGGGTGCCTTCCTTTACATGAAGCTGCAGCACAACCCAACAAGAATATTCTAGAAATAACTCTGAAAGGTAGAAGGATCTCCTCCCAGCTTTGTTCTCAAGTCAGTTTTGTATGCTCACTTGGTGCCAAAGCCATGTGTCTCTCCTGGTTATCTTTCAGCTTCACGCCCCGTGGTGTGGCAACTGACAAACCTGAAAGGGGAAACACCTCTGTTTGTAGCAGTGGACAAATGTCTTGAGAAAAACGTCAAATTTCTCCTGATCAATGGTTTTAATCCTGATGTGAAGAATGAAGAAGGAGATTCTGCTTTAATTATTGGTAAATCAAATTGCACAGTTTTGTGTAGTGATTTTTTTGGATGCTTTTTGTGTGTTTTTAAATAATGTGAGTGTATCAAAACTTTTTCTCATTTTGAGAAAGACTCGGGGGACAATTGTCTATTTCAGTGCTGGTCAAATAGCAGACCTGAATTTGACTCATTTCATTCCATTGCCTTGTCTTACCTTTTCCCCTCTCTGAGCTGTGCTGGGACTAGGGGAGGAGTCCAAGCTCTAGACAGCGGTGGCAGGGTTGAGGTTTGTGACTGAGGGACAGCACTCAGACCACCTTGCCCTTTCTTATTTCCCCTTTTGTTTGCAGGGCATCTAGGTGTGCTGCAGAGCTCTGTGCCATGGAGACCCAGCCATACACCATTTTAAGTTGCCCAGAAGCCCTCTCTACCTTTATGAAAGGGCGTGCTTTGGATAGGAAGCTGCCATTGGCCCACACAGAATTGTCAACACTGAGTTTCCTGAAACCCTGAAACCAGGGTTTAAGGAAGGAACTTTTATCAGACCCACCTGGAGGTGTCTGGGATTGAACCTGGGACCTTTTACAAATACAGTGGTACCTCGGGTTACATACGCTTCAGGTTACAGACTCCGCTAACCCAGAAATAGTGCTTCAGGTTAAGAACTTTGCTTCAGGATGAGAACAGAAATCGTGCTCTGGCGGCGCAGTGGCAGCAGGAGGCCCCATTAGCTAAAGTGGTGCTTCAGGTTAAGAACAGTTTCAGGTTAAGAACGGACCTCCAGAATGAATTAAGTACTTAACCCGAGGTACCACTGTAAATCATGTGCTTCTCCCCATACCTTGATCAGCTAAGATCAAGCGACGCCTGCTGCTTCCCTCTTTGGTTGCACCCCATTCAAAGGGAGGCCCACCATGAATCGGAAGCAGTTCGGGTGGAGTTTCTTCAATCTCTGAAAAACCCTACAAAAGTAGCAGAAGACTGTCAATATTAGTTGCATTTTGCTAAATTTGGGACTGAACACAAAGTCTGATTCTAAGTTTAGCCCCTTGCAGTGCTACGTGACCTTTATTGCTGCCTATAAATAGCACAAGGCAGCCAAGCAATGGTTTCTCCCGTCTTGGTTTCACAAGAGAGGGAAGCTTTTGGATTTGATGTCTTTTTCATTAACCGTGTAAAATGCTGCTCTTTCTTAATATTTTACAGCAATTAAACACAATTCGTACGAAATTGTCTCCTTGCTGATACAATTTGGTGCCGATGTCAATCTCCAGTGTGTCAACAAAAGGACAGCTTTACATGAGGCGGCCAGGCTAGGCTTCAAAAACATGGTGGAGCTTTTGCTTTGGTCTAAAGCAGATCCGGATCCACGGAGTGCGTATGGACTCACCCCTCTAGCACTGGCAGCGCAGAATGGGCATACAGAAATTCTGGAAATTCTATTGCGTAAAGGTGAGGACTTTCATACAATTACTTGGAAGTTCAGTGGTGCACCTAAGGCTAGTTTTTCTGGTAATTGCCAGAGCAGTCCTGTGATAGAATGCTGTTCTAACTAAGGGAACACAGGTATAAAATTTAAAATACTCTGTATGGAGTGGATGAGAGACATTTTTGTCCAGGCATATACATATATGTTTTCTCTCTTGGTCTTTGAATGCTCATTCACAGCAGCCAACCCATAATGATCTGTTGATAGCAAATCTGAAGGAGCCAATGCTGATGGAGAGGTGTATACACTGAGAATTTTGCAAAACTTTGCTGGATGAGCAAAGTAAGAAAGACCTTAGCTTAAATGTGCTCATTCATCATTCTCAGTTTGTATATCTGGTGAGCATCTCCAACACACATTTATGTTTTGTGTTCACCAATTCAGCTACTACAAAAAAGGAGCCAAGAGACGTAAAACATAAGGTAGATATTACATTACAGTGAGCATTGAAACATTGGAATGAAACTCAGTGTATATATTCAGGACACGATTGAAAGTTCAGAGACCACTGTGGCTCCTGAGTGTGGGAATTTTGTAGACGGCCCATTCTGGGTGTGGTTGCATTTGCATTCTAGTTTGGGGATACTAGTGGCAAGTTGGTTCTTTAGCTCCATCATACTTTCACAACACAGATGTAAGGCATAAAGGACACAGAAAGGATGAATAAGGTTTTAGAGGCATCAGGAAGCAGAATAGGAACTGAGACTGTAGTAGCAATTTGATGTATGTGTGTGGATGTGCAAAAAGAGATCTGCTGGTTTGTGAATGTGTTACGCCACTTTTGCCTACAAGAGCCCTTATTCAGGATTGGTCCTGTTGCAGTGTAATACTGATCCCATATCTCAAAGTTGTTGCAAAAAAACCCAACTTATTCCAGCACAACTCTTTCTGAAAGAACTAGAATTCACATTATAGCAGTCTGGGCTGCTATAATGAGGGTGCTAATTACTATTGCACTAAATCTCTGTTGCTCTTCCTCCCTTAGGTGCCAATGTTCTTTCCCAGGCATCTGATTGTGCATCCATATTATTTGAAGCTGCTGGAGGAGGAAATCCCGATTGTGTCTCTCTTCTACTAGAGTATGGAGCTGATGCTAATGTACCAAAGCATTCAGGTCACCTACCCATTCACAGAGCTGCTTATAGAGGACACCTCTTGTGAGTTATGAAAGCCAACAGGTTATACAATTGGGATGGAGGTGGGTGGGCGGGGTTAGTGGAGTTAGTCATATGCCCGGAGCATGTCAACACTGCCTTACAGGTTGGCTCTCTCCCAAAATCTGCCTTGTGACATAACTATTTGCGGGAGATGAGCAGGGCAATAATTTATCATATACTCGTCTGCAAGTTGGATGTAAACAACTTGATCAAAACCTGAAATGATGGTGATAATGATGATGATGATAAATAATTTTATTATTTATACCCCACCCATCTGGCTGGGTTTCCCCAGCCACTCTTGGCAGCTTACAGCATATATAGTAATATATCAGACATTAAAAACTTCCTGATACAGGGCTGCCTTCAGATGTCTTCTAAAAGTTATGTAGTTCTGAAGGGAGAACGTTCCACAGGGAGAGTGCCACTACCGAGGCCATCTGCCTGGTTCCCTGTAACTCTCTCTTCTTTTCAAGCTGCACTGGCTCCCGGTGGAGTACAGGGTCAGATTTAAGGTGCTGCTTTTGACCTTTAAAGCCCTTCATGGCCTAGGACCCTCGTACCTACGGGACCGCCTCTCCTGGCATGCCCCACGGAGAGCCTCAAGGTCCATAAATAACAACACCCTAGTGGTCCCAGGCCCTAAGGAAGTTAGATTGACTTCAACCAGAGCCAGGGCCTTTTCAACTCTGGCTCCGGCCTGGTGGAACGCTCTGCCTCATGAGACCAGGGCGGCCCTGTGGGATCTTATTTCTTTCCGCAGGGCCTGTAAGACAGAGTTGTTCCGCCTGGCCTTTGGCTTGGAGCCAATTTGATTCCCTCCCTCCCTCTCTTTCTTTTTTCTTTTCCTTCTCCTCCTGCAATGAGGCTACATTTTAATATTTTAATGTTCCATTATTTTAATGTTGTATTTTATTTTTGTTTTTAAGTTGTAATCATTCATCTTGTTTTTATTATTGCTTGTAAGCCGCTCTGAGCCCGGCCTTGGCTGGGGAGGGCGGGGTATAAATAAAAAATTATTATTATTATTATTATTATTATTATTATTATTATTATTGCAGTGAGGGAACCAGCAAAAGGCCATTGGAACTGGACCTCTATGTCCAGGCTGAGCAATGGGGGTGGAGACGCTCCTTCAGGTATACTGGGCCAAAGCTATTTAGGGCTTTAAAGGTCAGCACCAACACTTTGATTTGGGCTCAAAAATGTACTGGGAGCCAGTGAAGATACTTTAAGACTGGTGTTATGTGGTCCCAGCAGCCACTCCCAGTCACCAGTCTAGCTGCCGCATTCTGGATTAGTTGTAGTTTCCAAGTCACCTTCAAAGGTAGCCCCACATAGAGCACATTGCAGTAGTGCAAGCCGGAGATAACCAGAGCATGCACTGCTCTGGTGAGATAGTCCGTGGGCAGGTAGTGTCTCTGTGCAGTTCTCCATACAGGTTCTACACTTGCACAGAACCCTTGTACAGAAGCTTTGAGGGCTAACTCAGTAAATGTTTTGGGTGCAAAGGTCCACCAATTCAACTGAAGTGCATTCCTGAGCAGACAAGATCAGCAACTTCCCACTCATTTCTTTTCTTACCACCAATACCACAGCAACATTTGTACCTTTCTCCTTTCCTTTTAGCTACAAACTAAACCAACCTTCCTCCCCACCCTCTTTTTCATATATTTCCTCAATTTGCAGTTTTATTTTGGATATATTTATGCATTTTCTTTTTCCTCTTGGGATCTTTGTCTGCCCATGTGCCTATGGCACCATGTTACATCTTTTGAAAAATGCAGAAGTTGTAGGAACAAACTCCCAACACATGCAGCTACAACCTCTCCTCTTTTGCCTGAGTGAGGAGCGACAAATGACCTATTGTCGCCATTGTCAAAACTTCATCAAGCTGGAGCTATCTTGAAGAATATTTTGATTTGATTTGTTTTACTCCCTAGAGTTGTACAGATCTTGGTTCCAGTGACGGACAGTGCTGCCATCAAGGAGAGTGGGATCAGTCCAGTTCACTCTGCAGCCGCAGGTGGACATCCTCAGTGCCTTGAGTTCCTTCTCAAATCTGGATTTGATGCCAATTTTATGTTGCATCAGAGAATTCGCAAAGGCTATGACGACGAGAGGAGGTCAGCCTTGTATTTTGCTGTCTCTAATGGGGATATTGACTCTGTTCAGTTGCTCCTGGATGCTGGAGCCCTACCAAACCAAGACCCAGTTAACTGTCTCCAGCTGGCCTTGAGAATGGGCAACTACGAGCTCATTGGTATCCTGCTTCGCCATGGGGCCAATGTGAACTATTTCTGTAGGGTTAATACAACACATTTCCCATCAGCTCTGCAGTACACGTTGAAAGATGAAGTAATGTTAAGGATGTTGCTGAATTATGGGTACAATGTTCACCGCTGCTTCGATTGTCCTCATGGAGCCAGTGTGCATTCCCAGTACATATTTGAAGGGTGGACCTCAACTGTTATCAAAGACACAATGGTGAGTGCTTCTGATGGGAGGGAGGACTGCTTACATTTGCACCATCTTCTGATTTGCCCCTACAACACCCATCAGGCTATTTCCCCCCAGCTGGGCTCCAGAACTGTGAGTCTGCATATGAGTGGGAAGTTTTTTAAAAAAACAACTGGATATTGTCACAGTGGAAGAAATAAGCACCCTGTGTATTAGCATTTCAAGGCAAATAGGGAGCCTGATATATGGGACTGCAAAATCAAATGCTACCCTTAAGATGGCACTCCTTAGAGTAAATGGCTAGTACTTGGTTATCCTGTTTGCAAATGGTGTTATTTTTTTCTGAACTGAATTTGCTGTATGGCTGCTTTGCTTTGCTGCTGTTTTGGCCTAGGGCTTTACTGGGTTGAGTCCTCTGGGGCACTTTAATAATGCCAAATGCTGAATGAACTGGTCTCAAATGCTCTTTTCTCTCTCAGTTCTGTGAGGTGATAACAGTAGCGTGGTTAAAGCACCTGTCTGGGAAAGTGGTGCGTGTGATGCTAGATTATGTTGATCATGTCAAGATCTGCTCTAAGCTTCAAGTTGTACTTCAAGAACAGAAACTCTGGCCAGAAATCCACGAAATTTTGAGTAAGTGTCAAATTCATTTAAGCATCTCAAGAAATGCGATATTCAAATACGAGGGACAGAGCATGTTGTAGCTCTCCAATTACTAGTTGCATCACATTTGAGGATGCAAACTTGTGGTCCCTGCAAGGGCCTCCCAGAATCCCTAGATCAGACCTATTCTTCCAACATTCAAGGCACAGGAGCTCCAACACTGGAACCTCCCTTTCTGCAGCAACCTTGGTCCAACCAATGTCAGTGCTCTGAAGTCAGCAGCCTCCAAAGGGATGTGGCAGGCAGTGGTTGGAGCCAATGGGAGGACTACATGTAATGGCAAGGTTGGGTAGGGATGTAGCAGTGCAACGTTTGTATTTCATTCATCACCACCCTTAGAAGCTTAAAATATCATTAAAGAAATTGCTGGATGTGGGCACAAAGATCCACTAGCTTTAGTTTTGATAAATGTGACTCAAAGCCACAATACTCAGTGTAATTGTTGTGGGTCATACTGACATCACCCATGTCTCTATGAAGTCACCTAGACTGCCTATAATAAACCCTTCACTGTCTTGTAAGGAGATACAGACATGTACACTTGTGTTATCCAGACTTCTGGATAGAAGATGACTTGTCAGCATGGTGCACATGTCAAGGTAAGCCGGGAGCAAACCTTGGCTACAGATCGTGGTTAAGGAGGAAAGAGCTTAACCACAATCTTGCATTCATGTCACATTAAGCCAAACCTTTGCTTAGCTGCTGCACTACATTAAGCTAAGAGGACTAGGGAGGATCGAAAGTGCTGTGATCTTCTTCTCAGCAGCCACCAAGTTCATGTTAAGCCATGGCTTGTTGTTGTTTAGTCGTTTAGTCGTGTCCAACTCTTTGTGACCCCATGGACCAGAGCACACCAGGCACTTCTGTCTTCCACTGCCTCCCACAGTTTGGTCAAACTCATGCTGGTAGTGTTCTTCGGGAACACTATCCAACCATCTTGTCCTCTGTCGTCCCCTTCTCCTTGTGCCCTCCATCTTTCCCAACATCAGGGTCTTTTCCAGGGAGTTTTCTCTTCTCATGAGGTGGCCAAAGTACTGGAGCCTCAGCTTCACGATCTGACCTTCCAGTGAGCACTCAGGTCTGATTTCCTTAAGAATGGATGCGTTTGATCTTCTTGCAGTCCATGGGACTCTCAAGAGTCTCCTCCAGCACCATAATTCAAAACCATCAATTCTTCGGCAATCAGCTGATCGCCGAAGAAAAGCCATGGCTTAGCTTATCATTATGTGCAAATTTCGACATTGTGGACCAACAACCTCTCCAACTTACTGAGCAGAGCAGAAAAATCTTACAGGTGCATCATTTCTAAGCCCCTTTGTGCCAGCCAGGACTAAAAGAGAGGATATGGAGTGATTTTCTGTTTTCCGTCTTGCCTATTTGGCTTTAAATGGGTGGGGGTGGAATCCTTCCACCGAGAAGGAAAATAACTTTGCAAGTTCCCAGGTTGGCACACTTTTTTGGCCTATCTAGGGGGATGGTGGGGGAACAAGGGGGCTTGGGACTCAGCAAATCCAAAATATCCCCAGCACACTGCCAATGGATCACTAATGCACTGCATGAGTGATACAGCAAGGTGTGTATTCAAATGCTGAGTGCATGATTTATATCCTACTCAGCACACTGTGTACTTGCAAGAGTCAATCCACAATGGGATGGCTGAGCTGACATCTGCTTTTCTGCCTTGATTGATCAAGGCACTGGACCAGTTGTCACAGCTCACAATTTGCAAATGTTACACTAGGACAGAGGCTACACAAGACCAAAAAAAAGTTTGATGTAATAAAAGTATTAGCCTTTTTTATATCACACTTTGAAGTGTTTCCCATTACTTCTCAGTTCAGCCTGAGAGCTTTCTTCTATCCATGCAGAACAATCTGGTTACTCATGTGTAATTCACACTGTATTCAATGGCCCTTACTCCTCGGTAAGTAGGCATAGGTTTGCAACTTGAGAGTATTACAGTTCTTCCTATTTTGAGAGCCATTTATCTCATCAGATGTTGTTCACAACTCTGGGAAGCAAATAAGTCACTCCTTTTTTAAAAATAGGAAAGACAGTGATTTATGCAAGGTCGTGCTTATAGATATCATTGGCTGTCCTGTGATTTAATCCTGGGTACCCACTCCCACCAGATCAATAAATTTCAAAAGCAGGCCTAACAATGAATGCATGTTCTCTCCTCCTCCAGCAAACACCCGTTCTCTGCAACATCTTTGTCGTTTGAAAATCCGCAAGTGCTTAGGACGCTTGCGTCTACGCTGCCCTGTCTTCCTTACATTTCTGCGATTACCAAACCGTTTGAAAGACTACATTCTCTATAAGGAATATGATCTCTATGGACAAGGAAACCTGAAAGGAATCTACTAATGCAGGTATATATAGAGTCGTATTTGGAGGGGGTCCTATACGTAATTCTGTGCATGTTTGTTGTTTAGTCGTTTAGTCGTGTCCGACTCTTTGTGACCCCATGGACCAGAGCACGCCAGGCACCTCTGTCCTCCACTACTTCCCGCAGTTTGGTCAGACTCATGCTGGTAACCTCGAAAACACTATCCAACCATCTCGTCCTCTGTCGCCCCCTTCTCCTTGTGCCCTCCATCTTTCCCAACATCAGTGTCTTCTCCAGGGAGTCTTCTCTTCTCATGAGGTGGCCAAAGTACTGGAGCCTCAGCTTCACAATCTGTCCTTCCAGTGAGCACTCAGGGCTGATTTCCTTAAGAATGGATGCGTTTGATCTTCTTGCAGTCCATGGGACTCTCAAGAGTCTCCTCCAGCACCATAATTCAAAAGCATCAATTCTTCGGCGATCAGCCTTCTTTATGGTCCAGCTCTCACTTCCATACATCACTACTGGGAAAACCATAGCTTTAACTATACGGACCTTTGTTGGCAAGGTGACGTCTCTACTTCTCAAGATGCTGTCTAGGCCTGTCATTGCCCTTCTCCCAAGAAGCAGGCGTCTTTTAATTTCGTGGCTGCTGTCACCATCTGCAGTGATCATGGAGCCCAAGAAAGTAAAATCTCTCACTGCCTCCATTTCTTCCCCTTCTATTTGCCAGGAGGTGATGGGACCAGTGGCCATGATCTTCGTTTTTTTGATGTTGAGCTTCAGACCATATTTTGCGCTCTCCTCTTTCACCCTCATTAAAAGGTTCTTTAATTCCTCCTCACTTTCTGCCATCAAGGTTGTGTCATCTGCATATCTGAGGTTGTTGATATTTCTTCCGGCAATCTTAATTCCGGCTTGGGATTCATCCAGCCCAGCCTTTCGCATGATGAATTCTGCATATAAATTAAATAAGCAGGGAGACAAAATACAGCCTTGTTGTACTCCTTTCCCAATTTTGAACCAATCAGTTGTTCCATATCCAGTTCTAACTGTAGCTTCTTGTCCCACATAGAGATTTCTCAGGAGACAGATGAGGTGAACAGGCACTCCCATTTCTTTAAGAACTTGCCATAGTTTGCTGTGGTCGACACAGTCAAAGGCTTTTGCATAGTCAATGAAGCAGAAGTAGATGTCTTTCTGGAACTCTCTAGCTTTCTCCATAATCCAGCACATGTTTGCAATTTGGTCTCTGGTTCCTCTGCCTCTTCTAAATCCAGCTTGCACTTCTGGGAGTTCTCGGTCCACATACTGCTTGAGCCTTCCTTGTAGAATTTTAAGCATCACCTTGCTAGCGTGTGAAATGAGTGCAATTGTGCGGTAGTTGGAGCATTCTTTGGCACTGCCCTTCTTTGGGACTGGGATGTAGACTGATCTACTGTGCCTGTTTAAGTTGTAGCTATTGGAGTCCTTCTGTTTGTGAAAGAGTTGATTTAGCCCAAGTGTGTGGCAGCACAGAGACCACAAAGAACAAAGTTTAAGTAATGCAAAGTACTGCAATTTCTTCCCCTTTTACCTCTCTGGATGTCAAACATCCCTAGGTATAGGGACTGATCCACTCATTCTTTGCAAATTACATATAAAGCAGATGGATTAATAAAACCCCAGTCACATCAGGAGGGACATGGTTTCAGTTTCTCCAATCTTAGCCACACCAAAATAAAATAAAAAAAATATATAAGCTCTTACAAACAATAAGCGCATGTTTGTTGTTCTATTGGAAATAAATAAAGACATTATTCCAGCTGTTAACTTTTTTTATTAAGTACAATAAATGATCTCTGACTATATTAAATATATGAATAAGATTCCTGAATGACTGACAGACTTAAAATACATTTGACAAAATTTCAGGATCTTTTTACTTTTTTTGGATAACATGATGATGGTGATGACCTTTTAGGGAGCAATTGCAAACAAAATATATTTTACATAATCATTACAGAAAACCATCTTCTAAAATTGACTGGACTTTGCCAAGGTCCTTCCCAGACAGGTTTATTAGTATCTAGATTTCAGTCTGCAGTTGACAATACCAACTTGACAATCACTGGATATTATTAACAAGTATTCAGGGAAACTGTATTAGATTCTTAAAACATTGCAAAAAATCACAATCACTAGAACAGGACCAAACCATTACATTACTGTAAGAATTTGACCATCCACTACATTATAAAAATCACCCATAATAATTATACAAGCTGCTTTGCTTGCATATAAACCTCACTATAGATCATTGTTCCTTCAGTTGTGTGCTGGTTTATTCTTTCTACCCGCTTACAGCACATGATCTTAGTCTACTGGTTGCAAATTCAATTTTGCAGAGCGAGGAGTACTCACATAAGGATCTTTAAAAAAGACATGTCCAGAAATAGTAATAAAAAAATTAATCTTCACCAAACTTGGGTGTTAGTGCTTTTTTTTTTTTTTTTGGCAGAGAACACAAGTGAGAATGCTGATCTGATTTTTTTTTTTAACCTCAGATTCACATGCAAACAATTAAAAGGAATGCATTTCAATTACAGCATGTTAGGGAAGAGAGGGACATGCAAAAATATTTTTCATTTTGCTATATTTCTGGGTAAGACAGAAAAGCACATCTTAGGAAGCTCACTTCTCACAAACATTTAATAATCTTCCTTTCTTCAATTTTGGCTTTGAAACATTGATCATTCTAGTTTACAAAACTGAAGTATAAAAGATATAATAAAGCAATTGTGCTCACTGTGGAGTTTAGCTGTTCTGCTCCTTGACAGCCCAATCCTATGCTTTTTTACTCAAAATTCCCACTTGAAATGTGGTAGCTTACTCAAAGACCTAATCTGACAATGGGGGGGTGGAACTGTATCACTCTTTATTTCAAAAATAAAAGGGTAAGTTTGCTTCATGACATTACCTTACACACTAGAATCTTCCAATATGAACATGTTCTGGGTAGGAAACCTCATTTTTAACATACAATTTGAAGTGTGGCACTGGTGAGTTATGCATCATGACCATACTGACCAAATTGCCAGTTTTAGATACAGCGATCGTATCCAATAGTAAAATTAATGCAATAAATAGAATGAATTTGCACAGTGATCAGATTTTTTTTTCATGCCAGCTAGCACCCAAAGGCAAGAAATGCGTAAAAATTCAAGCAACTAGGTTTCCGTGCTCTTTCTCCTGGCCAGTCCAGTTCCTGCCTTTTGTCTAGCCAATTGTGCTCTTAGTCTCCATTTGTTTCTCAAAAATTGTAAAAATAAAATACAATAGTCAGTAATGTGTTGTTTTTTTGCCCACTATCCATCTCTAGAAGCAGAACCAGTGGATATGCTCCCAGTTCCATGGCTGAAGGATCTTATGCATGCTTCCCTTCTCCCCAAATATTCCTCACTGCTTGCACTCTGGAAGCTCCAGGAAGAAAAGGCACAACCGATTCTTGGCCTGGACATGTGTGATTCTCAGGAGTGCTTCATTTATTGGTGTCACACCCTTGGGCCTTGCCACCTCAGCCAGATCTACTGTTATAGGACCCAGTATTACAAGAAGAACCAGGGCGGTTGAGACAGACAGCATGGTGCTTGAGCAGCAATGTTTAAGTCTAAATGACATCTCAATGTGGAACCCATTGTGGAACCTTCAGAAAATTCTTTTGGTCTTACAGCATCATCCTATTGAGTCACTGAAGTCTATGCCTCTCCTGCTCCTGTCCTTCCAGGTAGTGTTCTTAGTTGCAATCACATTGGATTCAGAGCCAAGTGCTCTTTCTTTAGCAAGATATCTGTGCTTTTTCATAAGGACAGTGTGATATAAAGAGTTGTTCCTTATTCTGTGCCAAAGGTTAACACTAGCTTCCATGGTAAACACTGTCAACTTTTTGCCCTGATCTTGTCCATTCCCTTGGTGTGAGAAAGGCGATAATGTACCCTTTTAATGCCCTCCTCACATCAACAGAATGATAAACTTTAGACAAAGCCTCTTTTGTGTCTTTTCATCCTACAACCTTTGGTTAAAAGGTACCATCCGCTATCATAGCATGTTGGCTTATAACAGCATTTATTTCATCCTATGAAGCATTAAAGTTACCTGTACCAAGAAACATTATGGTTCATTTAAGTAAATTTAAGACAACCACAGCAGCCTTCCCTACAAATGAATCTATTTTGAGACCTGACTGATGGGTTGATCTTTACCAAATGCAATCACAAAGCATTATAAAATTGTTACTTATGTCTTAGGAGGCACGTGATATGTCTTGAAGACATAGACAGCATGCTTTCCCCACCTTAATATTGCCTGCTTTTGTGCATCCCACTTGCTGGACTATCATTCAAGAAGGTGGCACTGTTGATCTCGCCTGAAACATGTCTCCTTGATGATAGTCCATGAAGGCCTCAGATTATATGTTAGGGTAAGGGCAGCTGTCAGTCAGCATTATCTTCAAATGAATTTTCTTTTAATGTATTGTTATCTGTAACTTGTAATTTGTTTTACAATTTCTACTTTTTAACATGTTCTTCAAATTTTATGTTTATTTCTGTTTGATATATAACTGTGATGGGGAAGCAGATATGGTAGCAATGCAGATTGTGTTACAGTGGTACCTCAGTTCTCAATGCCTTTGAAGTCAAACATTTCGGAATTCAAATGCCAAAAACCCAGAAGTAAATGCCTCAGTTTTCGAACGTACCTTGGAACTTAAACAGGAAACGCAGCTTCCGTTTTGAGTTTTCCATATTGAGGGTTGCGTTTTGAGGCTTCTGCTTTCAGTTTTCGAACTTTTTGGTCCTGGTCATATCGTGAAAGGGGCTGGCTAGGACAGAGTGAGCAGAGCAACCTACTTTCTTGAATTTGATGCATTTCCTGCCTTTCTCACTTGACGGATGATTACCCAAGAGAAAAACCTTTCAGGTTAGACCAGTGGCCCCTTTTCTAGCAAGTTGTGGGACATGTACACACCACATAAACCAGATACTTGCAAATTCATGGTTAGATGTCTAGACTTTGACAATGGGAATTCCACTATTACGCAGGTATAAACGTACTCTCCCTTAATGTTTCGAACATACAGATTATATATGGGAACAATTGACAGGTTTCAGTTCCACAAAGAGCATTAAGCCCTTTGAGATCAATATTTAACAGGAAGATAAAAAATAACTGGTTATATAAATGAGAAAATTTGGTATTATACACATTATAATACAGTGATTTAACATACATGTATACACACACATATACATATCTAAATTGCAGGTGACAACTGCTAGAGGTTAGCTTGAAACATGAGAACAATGCAACTCATCTGTCAGATGAAGTAAACTGGTTATATCAAATTTTATATTTTCTGGGAGCACTGTTAAATATGGCTCTAAGGGCTCAAAAAAGTGGTATAATTTAATATAGATTTGCCAGCTGAGCTGCCCAAAAATATGAAAACTTAATTAAAATTAGTCTACCTTACAATGAAGAGAACTATGAACTATATGGGTGACATTCCCTCAATCTTATTCTAAGGGAGACAGAAGAAGATGGCACTACTGCTCAATGGGCTCCTGCAGTCCATTCGGTTTACTGGAGTGATATCCCTCTCCTTCAGATAGCTTAGAACAGAAACACCCCCAATGTGTATGAAAAAGCTTCTTACCACACATTACAATGAAGTGTTATAAAGGCCAAAATGAATTTCCCCTCCACAGCTCTCTGGAGAAGGGTGGAAAAGGTCTGGCGTATTCTGAAAGGTCCTGAATATTGGCTGCTGCACTTTCTTTTGCTACAGAAGTCCTAAATTCTCCTTTGGGTTTACTTTTCCCCAAAGTTAGGTGTTCTTAGGAACTGAAAACCTGCTGGGGTTGAAAGAAGTGATGCGTAGATTTTGCAATGCTTGAGAAGAACATTGGTTTCTTCTCTCACCTTGTTTCTAAAAAGTTACTAAATATATTTTGTTGATTTCTTTTAAGAAGTGATTTAGATAAAAGGCAGACCACATGAGAAAGTGGTGAATCAACAGGTTGAAATGGATTTCTTTATGTTATCTACTCACAATTTGAGTTGGTTGCCGATGCCATGAATGGGTTGGGTATTATCTCGTCATGTGACAGAGGCAGGAGAGCATTTAGCGAGGGGCTCCTTCCCACTCAGCAGTGTGCACCTCAGGAGCGGCCAAGCGCCAGCCAGGGAGCTGGGAGGGGGCCCTCGAGGGAAGGGCCAAGGAGGACGCAAGCTGCTCCATGGTGACGGAAACAAGCCCGGCTGGGAGGCGGGCGGAGGCGGCAGCACTAAAAAGCCGAAGTTTCACTTGCACATCAAGACACTGACAGATGATGTGGATTACAAAGCCATTGACATTTGCTGACTGTGTTGGTGATGAACTCCCTTTAGGATGGGAAACAGTTTATGATCAACAGATTGGTGTTCATTACATGGACCATATCAATCTGAACCAGACCAGAAGGAGGAATGAAGGAAAACAGAAATCAGGCCTAAGAACTGAGGTCACTGTCAAGAGAATGGCCAAGATCTCCTCAGGTGAGGGTGAAACGGGGAGGGAGGGAAAGTAAACAGCCCCTGAAAACATCACCACACTCTGGAAGAACTTGTTGACAAAACCCCTGCACAGAACTGTATCTGCATGAAGACCGATGCCTGCCATTGTCTACCTGGGACACCTCCTCGCCAAACCCCACCTGCAGGCGAGAGAAGGATCTCTGGTGGTGAGATGGGTGTCCTTAGTTTCTTGCCTCTAGTTATGTGCATTTCTGACTGTCTTTGCTTTGATTATGTGCATTGTATCGACAGCCAGTGTGAACTGGAGAGTGTGGCGTGTAGAAAACATCAAGGGAATCGGCTCTGGAAATGTCTTGACAACCCTGCAAGGAGCTCAGGGAGCATCTCCAAGCGATGATGTTGGCCCTTCAATCCCATGGTTTCCTGATAAACAAGGAGAAGAGCTGCCTTGAGCCATCACAGCAGCTTATCCACCTGGAAGCCAAGCTGGACACAGTCAAAGGTTTGCTCCAAGCGATGATGTTGGCCCTTCAATCCCATGGTTTCCTGATAAACAAGGAGAAGAGCTGCCTTGAGCCATCACAGCAGCTTATCCACCTGGAAGCCAAGCTGGACACAGTCAAAGGTTTGGTGGCTCTGTCTCCAGAGTGCACCAACAAGATCAGAGCAGCAGCATCTCTGCTGAAATCTACCAAGGAAATTGATATCAAGCATCTATCGATAATTCTGAGCCTCTGTATGTCAGCTTCTGAGATCAGAATGGTTTCTGCTTCCTCATCAATGGGCAATCACTCACAAGCATTGCAATGTGCTCAAGTTACCTCCGCGGGTCAGGCTGCCAATGAGATGGTGGACGGCAGAATCCAATCTACAGAACGGAACTCCCATTCGCGATCCGGAGAACTGTGATCGCCACAGATGCCAGTTTTCATGGTTTGGGAGCTCATTATCAAGGTCACTTTGTACAGAAATGCTGGTCACCACAAAATCAGAAGCACTCCATAAATTGGTTGGAGCTAAGAGCTTCCAGGGTGGCGATGTTTCATTTTGCACATCAACCATGTGCTGCTGCACACATACAATTCCACCACAAAATCACACATTTGCAGGCAGGGTGGGACACGATTGATTTCTCTGCAAAAAGAATCATTGCTCCTCTTCATTTGGGGGGGGGGGACGACCCTTAGTCTTGCGGGAGACAGCACTTTACAGGCAGATTGGCTGAGTCGCTCCCTTCTCGATTCGGGGGAGTGGATGCTCAACAGGCAAGTCTTCCACCTGATTCAGGAGTATCTAGGTCCATGTCAAGTGGATCTGTTTGCAATAAAGTTTCATGTTATTTTTCCAGGTTCAAAGACAGTCAAGCGGAAGCATGGGATGCCTTGAAGGTACCTTGACCAAAATGTCTCCTATATACCTTTCCCCCACAGTCAATTCTGCAACGTGTTCTCCAAAAGATCAGAATAGAAAGAGATCATCCTGGTGGCCCCTTTCTGGCCCTGCAGGCCTTGGAAGTTGGAGCTCCAAGAGCTAGCCATCTCACCTCCTTGCCATCTTCTGGTGCTGTCCTACCTACTGCAGCAAGGACCCTTGTTCCATCCAAATCCACAGTGGCTATGTTTGACTGCATGACATTTGAATGCAGCCGTCTGAAGCATCAAGGGTTGGATACAGCTGTCATCTTCACCATTTTGGCCTCATGCAGACCTTCCACTGTGTGGATATATCAGGCAACCTGGACCAATTTATCAACTTGGTGTTTCTACAGTGAAGCTGTGTCCACATAAGAGTTCCAGTTCTGGACATTTCCGGAACTGAAGCTCTATGTGAACTATGTTACACTTTCAATGCATGGGCTACAGAATGGTTTGAAACCAAATGCTCTAAAAAGGCAAGTTTCAGTTTTGTGCACTACAGGTCGTGCCCCCATTTCACAAATTTGCAAAACTCATTAGTTAAACACTTTTTGAGGGGGGCATTTCTGCAAAATCCATTAGTAGCACATTCTTTTCCTTCCTGGAGTTTGCATATGATGCTGGCAACACTGCAGAAACACCGTTTGAAACTTTGTGCAAGATATCTGTAAAGCATCTATCCTTTAAGGTTCTCTTCCCCGTGGCCATTATGTCTGCATGTCGAGTGTCTGAGTTGTCTGTATTATTGGTAGCTAAATATCTGTGCATTTTTCACAAAGACAAAGGGGTTCTAACAGATCCTTCCTTTTTACGGAAGGTCCTTTCCCACTTTCATGTCCAGCAAGAGTTGGTTGGTGCTACCTATCTTTTGTCCAGATCCAAAACATCTGAGAGAGAAAACGTGGCACAACTTTGATGTTTGCCCTACACTGGAGGTGTCTATTGAAAGGACATTAGAATCACTGACTCCTTGTTCATACCCTTTCAACTATGGGTATAAAGGTTGCTCCTTCCACCCATGAAAGGTGGAGCAGGGCTTGCACACCTCTAGCGTGCGAGTCACTCAAGTTGCCTCAGCCATTGCACATATTGGCTCATTCCACTAGATCATGGGTAGGCAAACTAAGGCCCAGGGGCTGGATGCGGCCCAATCGCCTTCTAAATCTGGCCCGCAGACAGTCCGGGAATAAGTGTGTTTTACATGAGTAGATGTGTCCTTTTATCTAAGATGCATCTCTGGGTTATTTGTGGGGCCTGCCTGGTGTTTGTTCTTCCCCCCCCAAAAAAAATATAGTCCGGCCGCCCACAAGGTCTGAGGGACAGTGGACAGGCCCCCTGCTGAAAAAGTTTGCTGACCCCTGCACTAGATCAGCAGCAACTTCAGCTGTGTTTATAGTTAATGCTCCTTTATTAAAGATCTGTAAAGCAGCTACTTGGTCCTCACCAAGTATATTCACCAGGCATTACAAAATGGACCTGTCTGCTTTGGCTGACGCTGTCTTTGGGCACGCAGTCCTTCAACAGGTGCTTTAGTCACTGTAACTGTAGTTGGGACCAGCCCTAATTAGGAAAGCTCTGATACGTTCATCCCATTCATGGCATCAGCAACTGAATCAAACAGAACAATTGGTCTTATCTGAAGAGTAGATTTGATAGGCTACTGATGACATGAATGGGACCTCTCCCTGGAATAGACTGCAGTGATATTGATAATTTGGTTAGTTGCTGCATTGTTTTCAACATATGTTTATTTAAAGTTTACATATTGAGCCAGGAGAGAGGCAGACATATGTAGAGAATTTTCATTCCTACTGTCAGTTCAATGCCTGTTGAGAGTTCGGCGAATCCTATAAAACTGAGGAATGACTGCACCTGCCTCCCAGGGTTCTTTGCCCTCCTGCCTCCGTCACACGATGAGATAATACCCAACTCATTCAAGTCATCAGCAACCTATCAAGTCTGCTCTTCAGGTAAGACCAATTGTTCTTTTTGCAAAAACTAAAGGATCTGACTATTGTAAAAACAGATGCACTGTTTTGTATTAATAGTATTACTTTGCTCGAGGAAAAGGCCAATGCACGTTTGATATAACTAAACTTGTCATGCACTTGCAATTAAAAATGATCAAGAAGAAGAGGGTCAGCATAATTTTCCTCAGTAATTCAGCAGGTTTACTGTAAATGCACTTATGCTGTATGTGGAATTGTTCAGTAAGTCTTGCTAAATGGTATTTAGAGAAATTGTGCAAATATGGGCATGGATCACAGAATCAGTTTTATCTGAAATAATAGTTGGCAATGTCTCCACACAAATTATTCTTCTCATTTGTTACAAAACGTATTCGTACGTTACCAAAACACATACTGCGATTGCAGCCTAACTTCTAATATGTGCTTTAATGTCTCTGACACCCTCCACACCAAAGTGCTCTGAAGTATAATGCAGAATAGCCAAGGGCAGTACCACCAAGTACATTCTCAAGTAAAAATAGCATTGCAGCATTACCAGTTTTCCTGAACTTTTCTCTGCTGGCAATTCATTTTCAGACATGTTTAAACTACAAGCAAGCACTCTGTTTCTGTTCTCAGTAATCTTTGGGAATCAAAATGAACTTTGAAAAAATAAGGACTAACAAATTTATTATAGCAGAGCCCTTCTCAGACTACACTCCACTTCATAATATTAAATTTGTTAAGTCTTTAAAAGAGTCAAAGGACTCTGTTTTTGCCACAACACACCAAATGGCTATCCAATGCAGGTTGAAAGTGAAGACAAAAGCTTTTGTCCATTATGCTTACCTTATACCAATTTTTCCTCATGAAATTATCTGCACAGCAAGGCAAGTGAAGAAGAAAAAAAGATCCATATATAGCCATGTATACTTCTGCTAAGTTTCACCATGGTACCTTATGATATGGAAGAAAGTCCATATTCACATTAAGCTGGCTGCTTAAGAAAAATCAAAGCACAATGGAGTTTCATCTAATAAAGCAAACCCACCACCTTTGTTTCTCCGACTTTCCATGTCAGACAACAGGTCCAAAGACTTGCGCACCAGAGTCACTTCATGCTTCAGATTCTCGTT